GAGTCGAATATGCATTTATCAGCAAAGCTGAACCCTTAAAGAGATTACAAGGAGCTTAGGATCCATTGGCAGTTCATTGATCTGGTCTTGCAAGCCTCGTCTCCACATGCCCTTTAGAAATGGCTGTGGTGGGTACCCTGGTTCTTTAGTTGCCTTTGATTTTTATTTTAGCACCATTTTCATCCAAGGTAGAGGGGATAGCTTCCTCTGGCCTTAATTCCAAAAGGTTCTCAGATTCCTTTCTTCTGAAACTAAGGGAAGTTATTTGCATATTCCTCTAGACAGTGGTAGAGAGACCAGGGGTGGACCAGTATTTTCTGTCAAGAGTCTGACAGCAATGTCTTTGGTTTTGCTGGACATACAATGGGTGGAGACTACTCAACTCTATTTATGGCTGTGACAGGAAAACTGCCACAGACAACATGCAAACCAATGGGCGTGGCTTTGCTCAGATAATAATTTATTTATGGGCGCTATCACTTGAATTTCATGTATTTTTCATATGTCATGAAATATTATTCTTTTGCTTCCCCCCCCCCTTATCCACCATTAAAAATGTAATGTGAGCCCTAGCCAGTTTGGCTTAGTGGATAGAGCATCAGCCCGCTGACTGAAGGGTCTGGGTTTCATCCCAGTCAAGGGCATGCACCTCAGTTGTGGGCTCAATCCCCACCCCTGGTGGGGGAGGTCGGGAGTGGGGCGTGTCGGAGGTAACCAATCTATGTGCCTCTCTCACATCGATGTTTCTTTCTCTCTGTCTCCCCACCTTCCCTTCCACTCTCTCTAAAAATTAAAAGAAAATTCTCAGGTGAGGATTTATTTTTTTAAAGTAATGTGAGCCACACAAAGCAGGAAAAGGGTTGAAGGGTTGGATTTGGCCAGCGGGACATAGTTTGCCAAGCCCTGGTCCAGACCATTGCTATTCTACACGGGGTCCCTGGACCAGCAGCATCAATGTCACCTGGGAACTTATTAGAGATGCAGGACCTCAGGCCCCTGTTGCATCAGAATCTGCATGTACACAAGATTCACTAGTAGTTCACACGCAAGTCTGAGAAGTCCTGGTGCAGAGCACAGAATCCAGAAGTCACAAGGGATGGGAATACCACTGACCAGCCGGTGTAAGGCAGCTGTTGAACCTCTGGGGACTCAGCGTCCTTATCTATGCAAATAAATATGTTCTTACACCCATCTCCACAGGCTGTAGTGGTGAAAGACAGGAAGGAAGCAAAACCCTTGCCTGGCTCTGTCCATGCTCTACCAGCGGAGGGTGCAGAAGCCTCTCTTTAAAACCACATGTGCAGAGAAGGGAATGCCCACTCAGGATCTGCAAGCGCCAATCGCTTCTGGGACCAGACAGGTCACCTACATTTTGAAAAAGTGCTTGAGTGGAATCAGGATGCTGGGGACCCAGTGAGCTATGGGGCACTCTCGCCTGCCAGTTATACTGCCTGTCAGGTGCTACCACACCTTTGCATTTTCCAATAGAGGCTGGAACCTGGATTTAAGGTTAGAAAAACGCCACTTTGTTTAACACACTGTGCAGACCAGACAAAACCCATCTGCAGGCTGGCTGTGGCCCCAGGGCCTTGGTTGGTGACCTTTGCCTTAGAGAAGAGAAGTAACAAGAGGAGGTGAATCGAAGGAAATTGAGTCTGTGTTTTAAAGCCAAACTCCAGCAGCTCCCAGACTCAGTTTCCTCATCAAGAAAATAATCGCATCTACCTCATCGGGTTTGGTGAGGACCAAAAAGAAATGTTAAGTAAAGCGTGGAGGCAGGCACTGCTCTGGACAGCCAGTACTTGTCCTTATTGCTGCTGATGTTGTTTCTCGTTTTCTTTTTTTTAATTCATCAGTGCCTAGGCATCCCAAGGGTACATGTAAAAATGGCTTATTTCTCTCCTCGCTCAATCTGGTAACAAACAAGCAAGCCCAATTAGCCCCGCTCAGAACGCGGTCGCACACCGGAGCACACTGAGTGCTTAGTGAGTAATGATCCTGCTCTGGCCGCAGTCCACGCAGATGCCTTAATCTTCTCTTAATGAGAACGCCCTCTGCGCCCGGCCACTGCGGGGTTTGCCCGAGGCTGCCTGGCGGTGCTTCCTCTCAGGGCTGGGCCCCCGTGGCGAGCAGAGCCCACCTTGCTGCCCAGCTGCCCCAGACCAGGTGGAGGGCAGCTGACAATCGTGAACCCTCTGCTCTCCAAGACTCAGAAATCCTTGTGGGGTTTAAAAATCCTTAAAGAAATCCCACATTTGCCATCGAAAGGCGTGGGTGACAATGAAACGGGTGCACAGAAAACCCCCATGAATGAGAACAAACTTCCACGGGATCTCAGCACCTGTCCCCGCAGAGGGCGCCCCAGGGTGTGGAGAGCACCCAGCACACACAGGCCCGGGCTCTAAGCCAGGCTCCTCTGTCTTAGGGGGCACACAAATCGAGGGGCCTTGTCAAAGCTGGGGAGGAAGCCTAGGGCCGGCGTGAGGCTCCCCATTTCTAACCGGCTTCCAGGGGATGGCAGCAGGGATGGTTCCTGCCGGGCGGGGTCTGAGTCAGCCGGACCCTCCTCCCTGGATCTCTGCTCCAATGTCCCCTCCTCCGAGTCCTTTCCTGACCACCTAATCTAAACGTGATTAGCGAGGAGGACAGGAATCCTGTCGGTTTGATTCCTTGCCTGTCCCAACACCAGCGAGAGCCTGGCACGAAGCAGGCACTCACATATGTGTTCAGGGGAGAGATCCCAGTGTGAGCGCCGAGGAAAAGGACAGGCAGGGAGCCCGAGTCATTTGCCCAAAGTCACGGGGCTTGGAAAAGCCAGAGCAAGACACCAGCCCAGCTCTGTCTGGACCCCGAGGTCCTCGTGCCACACCAGAGGGTGAGGCAGAGTTTGTTTACAACACACTTCCTCCCTATGACCCATCCGGCCCTGCTTTGAGGAGGTGCCTGCGGTGTAGACAGTGGACTTCGGGGGACCAGTGTGGACGCAGAGAGGCTCACCGAGAGGCCGAGTGTAATACTTAGGGTGCCCTGCCCTTTGGGGTCAGGCAGGCTCACCTCCGTGGCTCAGCCGCAGACCAGCCTTTCCCTCCCATCCGGGCTCAAGTGCCTCTCCGGGCACACTGGATGTCAAACGGCCGAAAAGAGCACTGTGTTGTAGCCCTCTGCTCCAAAGGTCACCCAGAGCATGCCATGGGGGGGCAGAGTGCAGAGCAAGGAGCCACTTCCGGTCCAGCAAAGGGTGGGAACACCATAAACACCCCATTCATGGGGCCAACGGGAGGCCTCTCTGCTGCCGGCGAGGACACGGCTCCGTGTGCGACCCCATCTCAGCCCATGAGAGGGTCTCTCTGCCACAGAGAGGCCCGCCATGGGCGACGAGTGCACACACCTCCCTCCATCAGGTCAGTGGGTGGGTGGAAGGGCTCCAGGCTCTCGGAGGCCCTGGTCCTGAGTCTCAGCGGCCAGCAGCCTCGCCCCAGCTAAGTCCCCTCCCGAGAAGCACTTGATGGGAAGCTGACAGTAATGAGCAAAAGGCACCTGTTCACTGTGCCAGGCCCTGGACAGACAATCACACCGGGAGGTGAGGTTCTGTCCCCACTGACCAGTCAGATAACTGAGAAGTAGAGATTGATAGAAGTCAGAGGTCATACTGACCAAAGGCGGGAAGCCAGGGACACCCCACAGGCTGCAGTTCTTGAGCCCAAGGTTGCAGAATCGGGAGGAGCTGAAGATCGCTGTCCTGTTCATCACCGTCCTTCCTCCCCCTCACCCCCCCCCCTCTTTCCAGCACAAGATGGATGGAAGAGGACCCAATCGGAAGTCCTGGCCCCTGGATCTGGTTCACAAAACAACACGCCTATACCTATTCCCTGTATCACCCACCTTCCCTGTGGGGACACATAGGGGTAGCCCGGAACATACCTATTTGGGCCTCCCCATTGGTGGGGCTGATGGATGCCTAATGCCCATTACATATTTATAAGGTCCCGGCTCTGCCTCTGACACAGTTATTAAAAGCTCAGGAGCCATGGGGCTGCGCTCCGTGCCCTGAAACAAAGGCATAGAGGCCGCCAGAGCCCAGGGAGACAGGAACAAAAGCACTCATTTCTGAAGGAGCCAGGTGGGGGTGAGTCTCCCCAGTACAGGGTGCCCCAGGCACACTGCCACTGGGAGAGGGTGGGGAGGCAGACAAAAGGAGACAGCCATCAGCGCGGCTTTCCCCTGGTGTCCAGAGGCAGCCCTCGCTCTCTAAGGGCAGAGGAGCTGCGGGGAAGACGCAATAAGGCTCTGAGGCTGAGAACGTTCTCCGGTCCGCTGGTCTTTCCTTTTCACGGAGCTGCCCAAAGGGATCCACCTCTTCTCTCCCCGTGGCCACACTGAGAGCCCGGGCAGGCCTGCACCCCAACTTTTCCCAACCAGAGCCCCAGCAGCCAGATGCATTGGGAGGGCACCGCGATCCCCTGTCTCTCCCAAACATAATCATTCCAATGCAGGCCGGGCTGCCTGGAAGTCAACATGCAGGCGCCGTAATAAGAAACATCTGGCCCCCGAAGAGGGTTGACACAGCGCAGGCGGGCAGCGGCGGATTTGCGGTTGGGACCCAGAGTTGCAGGGGCTGAATTAAAAACACAACGGGAAACACCAGCCGGTGGCTCTTGTGGGAAGGATGCCACGCCAACGCCTGGGACTGTGTGTGGGGCTGAGTGACTTGGGGACCCAGCGTGGGTTTCGGGGACCCCCAGCGCTCCCCCAGGGGAACGCTCCCTGGGTGTCTGGCCACCACTTCCACCTTCAATATTTGTAGCAGATGGAGGCGCAGCTCTTAAAGGAATAGACTTCGCATTCTTTCCATGCGGCTTACAAGTGTGCGATGTACAAAAGGAGAAAAACATAGACGTGTGTGCATGTATTTTTTTCCACGTGTGCACCCACCTCCGCCCCCCCCCTCCGGCAGCCCCCCAAGTGCTATTCCGTTAGAATTGAGATGGAAGGGGTCCTACCTCCATTTGTGCAAGGCAAACCCGGGGCACTGGTCACCGCAGGCGCTGCAGGGCTGGCCTCTCTCTATCCGCCCCAGTCCGGTCAACTTCAAAACAAAAAGACACACATGTTCCCACCACCAGGCTCCCCAGGGCAGGAGCCCCCCTTTCCCCACGCCCTCCTCCAGTGGTCCCCTCAGAGGTGGGGGTCCCCCAAGGGTGTCCTCCTGGGGAATAGTGCTCCCACCCTGCGGCCGCTTCTGGGGAAGGGCACCCCGCCACCCAGAAGTGGCCACGGCTGGGCTTTGTCTCCCTGAGACACCTTGGTCACCGGTTTCTAGGAAACAAAAGCAAGACCTTTCCCCGGAGTCCCTGGGAAGCAGCCACGGTGCACCCGCGCCCTGGGACAGGCTGGCGCTCCTGGAAGGGGGCAGCACGGGACACCCCAAAAGACAGCCCCAAAGTCAAGTCCGTGGCGGGCGGAGCGCCCCGACACGGGGCACTGATGCTCTCTCGGGTGGGATTACGATCAGCCCTAAAGGAAGAGGGCTTTGGGGGGAGCCCCAAACTGTATCCTTGGGGGCCACAGATCTCAGGGTCCCTCCCGCCCGGGACTGGGGACCCGGACTTAACCCCTTCGGCGCCCAGAGCCCGCGCCTTGCACGCACCGCCCCGGGGCGCTTACCTGAGGCCACAGGTGCGAGGCCGAGGGGCGCGGGGACACCGGGCCCAGGGTCCCCTGCACGCCCGCCCCGCCCGGGCGGGGGACACTCACCGAGCGGCCGGACAGCCTTTTCCGGGAGCTCCGGCTGAACATGGCCGGGCAGCGGCCGCCCGCGGCGGGTCCCCGGGGCTGTGCCACGCGGCTGGGGGGGCGGCTGCCCGCGGGGCCTGTGCGGCCACGGACCTGGCTGTGTCCGCCTGCAGCCCCGCCGGCTGGAGCGCAGCCTCCTCCCTCCCTCCTTCTCTCTCCCCGCGCCTCCCGCTCTCTCTCCGCCCGCAGGTCCCTCCCTCTCCCGGCGGTGTCCCCGCCCTCCGCTGCGCCCCGCGTCCCCCGGCCCTGCCCTCCCTCCCGCGCCCAACCGCCCGGCCCACCCTCCCGCGCCCCGAGCGCCCAGGGTCTCCCTCTCCCCGCGCCCAGGCGGGCACCTGGGGCCAACGCCCCCGCACCTGGGCCCGCCCTGCCTCAAAGGCTGGCCCCGCACCAGGGCTCAGGAGTGAGGGGACAGGACCGCTTCCAGGCCCCCAGCGGCTGCAGCTGGGGCGGAGAGTTGAGGGTTAAGTATTTTTTAAGTTTAGGTATAATTCACATCCAGGAAAATGTACCCTTTTTAGTGGACAATTCTGCCAATGTTGCTAAGTTCCATACAGACCTGTAACCACCATCCCCACAGTCAAGATCCAGAGCCCCAGCAGGCCTGCACCCCAACTTTTCCCAATCAGCGCCCCAGCAGCCAGGTCCATTGGGAGTTATTGGGCAAGTCCCATCACCCCCCAAAGATGATTTGCACAGTTTGCACCAGGCCTGTGATCTACTTGGTACCCACCCAGCGCTGGCAGCTGAGGCGGGGCAGGGGGATGAAAGAAGCCTCTAGGTGTGCAGTGCGTGGAATACAGTAGGTGCTCACTTTGGAGTGATTGAACATAAGCTTTGAAGCCCCAGTGTCTACCTGCCCATATTTTTTACGCCACTCACCAGCCAGTGATCTTCCCAATTTCACTGACCTCTTTGTGCCTCTGTGTCCTTATCAATAAAGACGGCTAGAGCAGGTCCTTACTCACAGCATTGTTGAGGAAGATGAGTTGGGACAGGTATGGTTGTTCTACATGTTATAGCAGGCACCAAGGCAGCACTCATTAAAGATTAGCTGTCAGAAAAAGAAAGGTTGCAGGTCTGAGAGGCACAGGCCATGGTTCTACTTACCATTGATGTTTTAGCTCAAATGTCACCTCCCCGGAGAGAACGCTCCCGACCCTTTACTGCGGCAGCTCAGACAGACACACACACTCTCATACCTCACGCCTAGAAATTACCTTTTTACTTACTAATGTGCCCTCACCCAAATTTGTCTTGCTCACTTCAGTAGCTCTAGACCTATAATGGTACAGCACAAAGTAGGTACTCCATAAATGTTTGTCAAAGAAGTCACTGTAGAAAAAAAAACCACTCTCCCAGCTTAGCATTTTCCCCGAGGAGGCGTTGAATTCCAGTGAAGAAAAGCTGCTTGCCTGGGTAACACAGCACATCAGCAGTAAGGCCAATCTAGTTATACCCCAAATTCCAAAGGACAGATGCTGCCGCTCACACACCCATGCTCAGTGTTGACTACAGTGGTGTCAATGCCCACAAAGTAAGCACTGGCTTGAGTTCCAGGCCAGAATCAGGGGAAGCCCGTGAGGTCTTCCCTTCCCCATGGCAGCAAAATACATGGGGCGCCAACAGCTCCAGTAATCAAGATAAAGAGCATTTTTATGAAATATTTTAAAGAATCAAAATTAATGCAAAATAGTCCGTGATGAACAGAATATCAATATTTAAGTAAAGACAGAAGCCTACCTTACATTTGCACTTCTCTTCCTCACTTGCCTCACCCTAATCCTAGTCCTGTTAAAAATGCTCCCAAAGTCAGTGAAATAAAGGGTAGACTTCCCAATTTTGCATTTCTCTGTTTACCCACCATCTGCCATCACCAGTAGATGACACATTTGCTCATCCCTTGATTTGCTGGGGCCTAGCACAGGGTCTGGCTTATTTCAAATGCTCAGCAAACATTTGTTCAATGATTAAATAGAAGGCAGTAGCTCCCGAGGGGGTGGGAGCAGGGGGTGTTAGCAATGAGACCCCTGGGTTATCCTCGGTGCTGGTGCAGGAAGCTCACGGGGCTTCCGGGCAGAGCTACCGAATCCAGCTCTGTGCTGCATGCATCCAGTAATGGGCAGAAGGAGGTCGGGAGGCCAGTGTTCTCACCATGGATAGTGCCTATTTGTATTTTCGTTATGAAAAGTTTTAGCAAAGGTCAGTAAGAAAACCAGCGCATTACAAGTTTCTAAGAGATGGAAGGGCTGTATCTTGGAAGCAGCATCTCCTTCAGTCTCAGCTAGGGGCAGCGGTCCTGTCCGGTGTCTCACTGGACACCTTGGCTGGCGAAGGCTGCCCCGGAGGATGGCCTTGGGAACCTGATTAGTGCGATCTGGACCTTTAACCTTTGTCCTTTGTCAAAGGGGTGACATCAAGAAGATGTGACTGGTCTCCATAGGCACAAGGCCCTATTCCCACAAGCCCCTGCCTTAAATGTTAAACACACTTCACACAATTATAACTATAACAGCACTTCTTCCTGGGCGAGTCCCTTGGGTCTGTCTCCTCAAGGGCAGGAGCCAGTTTTTAATGGGCTGGTTTTCACCGGAGGCTCTTTTTCTCCCTCCCTCCCTGCCTCCCTCCCTTCCATGCTCTTTGAAAAAGCAATGGAAACAGTATCTGCAGGTTGAGGATTAACAAACAAACAAAAATTTAAAAAACACCAACTTCACTTTTGTCTCAATCAATTAGTCTTTGGTGAAATTGGTTTATCTATATATTGTTTTGCTCAAAGTCACAGAATCTTGGATGGCTTTATCTACGCACAGCCTCTCCCTGGTGATTATTTCTTTCTCTTACCTCCAGGAACAACTCTGAGGGCTGCAAAAGGGGCGAGTCTCCCTCAGAGCAGCCCATGCTTACTCGCGCCATCAGAGAATCCTCCTCATCAGAAGCCCACAAGAGTTTTGAAAAAGTGTGTGTAAAGCGGGGTAGTGAAGGAGGTGGTGGGGTGACTGGAGGGATGATTCTCTCTCAGTGGTGAGATTATGGAGGACTTCTCTCTTCCCTATGCACACTCCTCTGTGGCCCACAGACGTTTTAGTGTGAGCATGAAACACCATACATAATTGGGGGGAAATTAAATGAGGAGAGAACTGGAATACACAGCGTTGGTGGGCTAAATATTTCACAGGACATTATACTGTCTCACATGTATAAACATATTCACATATATTTAAAGCAAAAATATTTTAAACGATCCAAAGTACTACGCTAAAGAGCGTATATCTTTCTCTTCGGAAAAAACAAAAAAACAAAAAACAAAAAACATTAGAATTCTGCAGAGCCATTGGCCCCACTTATCCTAAAAATTAAATAACAAAAAGCACAAATACATGGTTAAAGGATAGTTATGACAGCATTGTTTCTAAGAGGAAAAAGATAAATTACAGATGATCTAGTTACTTGACATTAAATAATCTCATAAAATATGGAGAAATTTGTATGAATACTGTTCCATTTGGGTAGCAGATTACAAAATAGCAATATGAGTTCATATTTGGATAAGATTTGGGATATTTGTTATGCTTTCAAAAGTACACATATTTTTGAATATTGAAAAGTCCAGATTATAATGAAAATATTGCAGATTGTGATCAGTTGATTTAGGGTTTGAATTTCAAGTGGTTTAATAGTTCCCCTTTTGCTCATCTAATATTTATTTTTATTTTTTAAAAGTATATTTCTTTTACAATGGATAAAGGTAAAATGTAAAGTGTATAAATAATCATTTGACTTTTTAAAGTTCTAAAAGAGTTTCGAGGTTCTTAAGTGATAGAATATATAGGTGAATTTTTCTCTTTTTATCTATGCAGAATTTCTACAAGAAGTATGTATTATTTTTAATTAAGAAACTTTAAAAATTTTAAATATAAGTGGGATTTAAATACCGGTATGCATAAATAATTGTCTTATAAGACAAGTACTATTGTTCTTTTGGAAGGAGAAATTTACAGTTTTATTTCTTTACAATTTTCTAAGTGTTTCCCCCTAGGATTTGTTCTTTGTAATAACAGGAAATAAACGTTTGTTTTCCCTTCTTCTGTCCCTCCCATCAACCACGCATTTGAAGGCTTTATAATCCTGTGCTCCTCATTGTTCCAGGCTCCCCATAAAAGCACAGATGCAAAGGTGACTTTTTAATAATCGCTCACACTCATGTCGCAGTAGGTAACTTATTGGAACCCTGAGCGTCACCGGATGGTCAGGAGGAAACAGAGCTCCCTGAGGTGGTGGGATGCCTGACATCCTAGGCTGTTAGAGATGGTTCCAGAAGGAATGAAGACAGCTTTGCAGGCCCAGGTCTCATGGTCCCTTCCTGCCTTTGAGGAGAGCTTTCTATTCAAGTGCACACTCTCTTTCTGTCTCTCACACAGACACACAGCTGTGCTCAGGGTGCCTCATGGGCCTTGGGGTGGCAGCTAAGTGCATTCGAGTGGGCACCTTTTAAAGCACCCACAGGTGGACTTACTTGCAGGGCTGGCTTAGGTCTGAGTGAACAGTGAGCATCCTTCCTCCTTAACTACCTCGTTTCCACATATTTCCCCATCTTCCAATCTCGCCTGACCCTGCTCACCGCTCCAGTCTTCCCCTTCCCCTTAGCTCTCAAGTCTCTGTTGTATCATATTTTTTAAATCCTCACCCGAGAATATGTTTTTATTGATTTTTTTAGAGATAGAGGGAAACATCTATTGGTTGCCTATCATATGCACCTTTAGAGGGGGATCGAACCCACAACCTCTGGTATATGGGATGACACTCCACCAAATGAGCCACCCAGCCATGGCTGCTGTATCATTTTGTAACCTAGCGAGGGTTCACTGCTTACGCACGTGGAAGCCAATGCTATGGCACCAGCTTCTGAGTAAAGAAAGGGCTCTTATTGCCAAGTCAGCCTCCAGGAGACAGGAGGCACCACTCAAATCTGTCTCCCCGATCCAGGTGCAGGGCAGGATTTA